CGTCGGCGGCAGAGGGTTTCGAGGATGGGGCCATGGAGGCGCCTGAGGTGGAGAATACCGGAGGGTTTGGGGGCTTTTTATTTTTTATTTTTAGGGTTTTAGAAGTTTTATTACGTGGGTTGTATTAATTAGGAATTTTATACATTTAGGCCCTTACCAAAATTACATATTAGTCCCCTTAAATCTTGATAATTGCATATTGGTCCCTCAAATCAAAGAGGTTCTTGCAAGTTCAAACTTCTTGTGGCTGAGGCCGAGCATCGCCGCTCCGTCCGCGGCCGAGGGTTATGAGGATGGGGCCATGGAAGCGCTTGAGGGGGAGAATGACGGAGCGTTTGGGGAATTGCTTTTCAGTGTTTTAGAAGTTTTTATTATATGGGCTATATTAATTAATGAATTTTACATAAATACCCATTACATATGGCCCCTTCATCTATACATGCAGATAACATCGCTGTACTCGTTCACAAAAACCCAGTGGATTGCCATTTTTAGAATTTAGAAGGTTTCAACGGGTTAAGTAAGCCTTCTTAACTTCGTATAAGTTAGCCGTCTATAATTTGTCAACCGCTAAAAATGTATTATAAAGGTTAAGCTAACCTCTCTAGAGGGATTAAAATGAGCTAAACCTTCGAAAGGAGAGGTTTACTAACACTCCTATTTAGAAGGATTAAGAGTTAACTCTTGTATTTATAAAGAAACTAGGTTTTATACACGTGCAATGCACGTGGTAAATTTTTTATCATTTATTATAAATGCATAATTTTATTTTGGGAAATATTGTTATTAAATTATTTAATATAAGCAATGGATCAAACATATAGACATAATCTCAAAATTAAACCTTGAATGCAAATTTGATAGCAAATCGAACAGAAAATTTCCAGTCCAACCATCAACCAGTCAGGCTTTCAGATTGTTATCGACATAAGTATTTGCCAACTATTACTTTATGCATGGAACAAGAGGATATTCATCATATCCCTTGGAAAAAAAAGTTAAATTCATCATCAAAAGAAATTTGTAGAGAAGTAATGAATTAACAAATGTGGTTTTAGAAAAGAGAAGGACAGGAAAATCCTCTTACAAATAGGCCTGCATTTCAAAATTACTGAATATTTGGACTATGGAAATGGAATACTATAATCTTTTTCTTAAATTAGATAAAGCACAGAACAGTAAACATCTAACATTATGAAGAATGGAAGCAAATATCTTTCCAGGCAAACAACACATGTAAGACTATACTCATACTTAATGGAGTCAGAAAAGTTCATAGACATTACAGGTTGTGTACCACTTAAATCACAAGAGAATTATCTGAAAAAATCTCCAGGTTCTCCAATGTCCGACCCCGTAAAGTTTACATAAAATGCACCTAGTTCAATTAGCCAAGGTGACTGCAAAAGTTCAATCCTCTTATCCCTCCAGGAGTAACATGGAGATGGAGCAGACGTCTTACTCTGGAGCTGAAACATCCTGCTACCTCTGAAGCCTCCCTTGCCAATTCAGAAAAGAACTTCTCATCGCACACTAAAAAAGCAAGAGTGTTCTCAGTAGAAGCATTAAGCAGTCTTTTAGGGAACAAATGGACTAACAAAGAACCCAGTTCATGAAATATTTGCATGTTGATTGTCTTAGACACAGATTAGCAACTATATATTTTTTAAAGAGGGCAATCATAATCCAAGTTGATATTCAGGTTAGAAGAATAAATCACTTTCTTGCCCTCTTATTAACTTGGATGCATAATATGTATGGGTGTGTGTGGATCAACATATATACATATTACAAGTCATAAGATATTGACAGCCATACTACTGAATTTTACCTATTGCATATGCACAAAGCATTATTTGTTTATGTAACATAAACAAAATAGTCAATCATATCTGTACACAAAATATGAGCAAAGAAACCAGGACTTCGCTAAATGGTTAGTACAAAAACATGCACAGTACAATCAGAATTAGTAAATAATGAAAATGCGGAAGTTTATGAGAGAAAGATTAGAATAAAGCTTTTGAGTCATGTACATGTTAATTATTTGCTTGTACATCTTTTGATTGGCTTCTCTGACTGTAATTCATTCATGAAGTAAAGGCACAACATTTTTTTGAAATAGAAGTAGAGAAGGGTACCAAATGATCTCCACATGCTGATGGGAATAGTCAGAGACAAGTATCACAATCCAAGATATATAAATAGATGGCAGTCACCACCTTCATCTTGAATGTAAGACAAACTTAAGGAGTCTCCAACTTTGGCCCTGAAAAGGCATGGGAGTAAAATCATTTTCTCAAATTGAGCCTTTAATAGTGCCGACATGTAAATGCAGCCCAGCATTAAATATTTACAGTGGGGTAGCATGTATCAACCTTGAGTTCTCTGGTTGATATGAAGCTCTCTGTCTACGTTTGATTCATATACGATAGAATTTAACTACCGAAAGTTCCAATTCAATTCAGCATCTCCAATAATAAATGTTCCTTCATAAAAAGATGAAAACTGACAAATTGCATAACTAAAAAGAAATCAGTAAAACTAACTGCCGCAGACGAAAATACCAACTTCTATTCATGATGTCCAAAGTTTATAACTACCTCGTATTAAAGGGTTTCAAGCCATGTTGCTTACCAAGAACTTGAGGCATTTCTCATGCCACTTTAATGGATTGTCCTGGATTACCTGTTGCTACAGATTTTCTTCAATTGTTCAACCTTAGTAATGTAGAGGGATTAGAGTCAATTGGTCAATTTTAATTGGCAATCTACGGACCAGGTAAGCCTAAATCAGTCTACAAACGTTTAAGGAGCACACCACAATATAAATGAGATACTTCAAAAAATTATCTTGGATCTATTTGAGTATGACAAGATGAAAACACAACTACGTGGAAGAGGACCTTTGAAAATTAATCCAACATAACATTGATTTGACCAAGCTATTCATAACTATTAAACTGAAGCTAGGAACAAGCCAAACAAAAGGGAGAGATCACATCTACTTAGAAAAAGGGTTGTGCCATCTTTGAATTTCAATAATGTTTATGAATATAATGACATCTACTCATGATCACATGAGCAACTCAAGGTGTCTTCTTGGTATTTTCCAAGAAACAAGGTAATCATAATCCATGTTGATTACTTTTATTGAAATTTTATTAAGCAAAAGAAAATTACAGTCACATTTTATATATTAAAAAAGGCATTAAATTGTCATGTTTGGTTCATATGTAGTCGAACTTACACTAACGAAATATGTCCAAGAACAAGGATAAGCAAATGGATACTCATATTTGAGCCTGAATAATGTTTAGTGAATAGAACAAAACTGCTATTTCGAATGATGGTCAAAAACTCACGAAATTATGTCCGTATTGTTCTTCTCATTATTTTTAAAGAAACAAAGGTAATCATAATCCAAGTTGATACTCAGATTACTGTATTGTATTGAAATTTGAGTCAGTAACAGAAAATTACAGCGGAGCTTTGTGGGAAAAAGGTATTGAATTGTCATTTTTTATTCACATGTAGTCGAATTTACACTACTGAAGTGTGGCCAAGAAAAGGGTTAGCTGACACATTGAATAGAATGGAATGTGGCTTGGACAACAATTACATGATCAAATGAAAACCAAAAATTTCAACCAAATATATTATTAATGGACAGCTCAAGGTTTCTTCTTGCTAATTTTTCAATAAACAAGGTAATCATATATAATCCGAGTTGCTTGCTATTCTCAGCAAGTTTGATTAAGCGAGAGAAAAAGGTATTAATTGACATATGATTCGTATGAGTCAAATTTATACTAGAAATATGTCCAAGAAAAAGGACTGGCGAATGGATTTTCATGTACATGAATAGTTTGGACAAAAATTTCGTGATCAAGATATATTTCTTCAAGCATGAATAGTTTGTAGTAAAAAGGAAAAAGAAATGTGATGCAATGGTTTTGTAACGCTATACAGGTTATCCATCATTTTGTGAAACAGAACAAACTTACCTCACTTCTAGCAGAGCTGTCCATCATAACAGATGGTCTTACAGTAGGTGGTTGAATATGAAGAAGTTGTAATATCATCCAATCCGGATGATCATCTTTCGGTATGAAACCTAGTAGTAGGCAAACTTCATTGATTATTCTTTTAAGAACATTGAGAACCTGGCCATGTCATAAAATAGAAACAAATAAATTTGGGCTACTAAAAGAAATAAATTAGAATAACAATTTTGTAAAATTAGCTACATTCTCTGTAGAAAGCTATTGTTTCCTCTCAACAGGTTCAGGAAGCTGTGCTTGGTCATCAGATTTCTTGCAAAGGACTCATCAACAATAGTTTGTGTGCAGTATAGATAAGTAAAAAATAGTTGACATGCAAATTTAAAGTAATAAAGTGAACTATTCTCTGAATATGTATTTAGATTCACACAATTGAATGTTAAATTTAAGCTAATAACTGCAATAACAATCAAAGCATGCAATAGTTATCAAACAACTATATGAGCATATACAACTATATGAGCATATGTTTATAAATCATAAATTGTCCTAACAAATTAAATTCATCAGTTCATAATCTTAAAAGCATATGAAAAGCTCATTCGAAATCCTTCAACCAATTTGTAAATGTAATGAAAATTAAAAATTATTCATGTTTAATTTTTGTGGGCCCTTGATCAATCCTTCTCCACCTTTATCTTCTTTTTTGGTAAATCGAGAACTGAATCATCGTCATCAATGTTGATTGTGATGTCTTCTTGGATTTGGATTTCTTGTGCTATTATCTTTCCTTGTGCACGTTCATCCTTTGAGTTCTCATCCAACTTTACAAGGAACTTGTATGTCTTTCCGATGTTGAGAACAAACTTTGAAAAGATATCGATGTCATGATGATTACTATTGGGCTTCGGTGTTTGAGGTGATCTCCATCTTGTATGTATCTTTACTGGCTGCTATAAAATGTATTTATTACTTCAATAT